GAAAACACCCCCAAAACTCCATTTTTTTCCCCGATTTTCAATGGTTTTGCCCCGTTTTTGCAGCTTAGGAAGCTTTACTTCAGCAAAGGGAGGGAACAGCCACAGCCGGGTAAGCAAAAAAATTCCTTTTTTTTTTTTTTTTTGGGCTTAATTCCATTTCACGGCCTTTGGATCCAGGGTTTTTAAACATCCAAAATTCCCTTTTTTCCCCCCTTTTCCCTCTCCTGGTGCATGCGGCAGTCGGGAGTTGGGCTTTTCCTCCTTTTTTACCCCCAAAATTTCACAGGTTTGGGTAAAAAACCACAGAGATCTCTGGAGAATTCAGATTTTTGATAAATCCGTTTATTTGGCTTGAATTCCCCCCAAATTCTCCCTTTTCTCCCCAGTGGTAGCATTTCCTATTGGGGGGGGGCACGGGCAGCCTCTCCCTAAATTTCCCCCCCCAAAAAAATCCATTTTTGGGGGGTAAAATGAGTCAAAAATGCTGTAAAATCCGAATTTCAGGGAGGGGAGGGTCAGACCTTGACCCACCCCTCAATTTAACGAGCTGGGAATTGTCCCCCCTTCAAAAGTGGGATTTTTTCCCCCTTTTTGGGGGGATTTTTTCCCTTTTTGGGGGATTTTGGGGCTCCCCAGATCCTTTAAGGGGGGGCAGGTGGGGCTTTGCCAAGGTGGGACCCCAAAAATCTTTTGGGGGAGGGGATTTTGCCCCTCCCCCACTGCTGGGACCCCCTGTTCATTTTTGGTGGTGGGGTCAAAGGTCACAGTGAGAATTTGGGGTTAAATCTCCCAATTTTGGGGTTTCCCATTTCATTTTTTGGGGGGGTTGTGCTGGTTTAACTTTCTCTTGTGTCTTTGCAGAGGGGCGGTGTTGCTGACCCCCCCCCCTAATTAATCTCATAATTGGGGGATGGATAATTAATTAACACTGAGGGGAGCATGTAACAACCCCCAGCTCCGGGTGCTGCCCCCACCCCAAAAATTCAGGTTTTTTCACCCCAAAAATGGAGATTTTTGTAAGGTTTTAACCCCAAAAAACCTCCCCAGCTCCTTCGCCTGCCCTCGTTAAGGAATCTAGGTCATAATTAAGCTTTAATTAGTGGTGATTAATGATGTCAGAGCCTGAAATCCCCCCAGGAAGGGGGGGAGGGGGGCCTGGATTGGGGTCAATGAGCGTCGGGTCATTAAAGGGGGGGTTTGGCCTTCATTAACGAGGTGTTAATTAACGGCTGGTTCATTAGTCAGAGGGTTTAATTATGGCCTGAGACTGGGGGTGTGTGACACCCCCAAATGTGGCCCCTCCTCAAATGGCAGCTTGTTAATTAACCCCTGGTTAATTAACCTTGGGGGAGGGTTGTGATTGAAAAGCCCCCCCTGGACCCTCGTTCTGCTTGTTAATTAACAAAAAATTAATGAAATTAAGGGGGGAAAACTGGTGGGAATGACAGATTTTTGTCTGGTTTTTTGTTAATGGGTTTAATTCACTTTTAAATTAAAAATGTGATGGGGGGTGAACTCGGGGTTTGTGTCCTCCCCATGGTGTGACCCTAAATCCTCATCCCGTGTTCATATTTTAATTAATTTCTTTATTAATCAATAAATGAGCTCATTGGAATGACATGAGAGGGGGAGGGGGGCTGTGACTCCCCCCAGTTTCTCTTGGGGGGGTCTCTGGGACCCTTTTTGGGGTCGTTTTCCAGCTTTTTGGGGTCATTTTCCAGCTTGTTGAGGTTGGTTTCGGAGCTTTTGCAGCGATTTCCCAATTTTGGGTTGAACTTCTCACTTTTATTGTGCTTTTCCATCATTTTAGGGTCGATTTCCAGCTTTTTGGGGTCTTTCCTGCTTTTTGGGGCCAATTTCCTGCTTTTTAAAACTCTTTTCCATCTTGGGGGCAGTTTCCAGCTCTTTGAGGTTGATTTCCCATTTTTTAGTGGTGTTTTCCCATTTTTTAGTGGTGTTTTCCCATTTTTAGTGGTGTTTTCCCATTTTTAGTGATGTTATCCCATTTTTAATAGTGTTTTCCAGCTTTCTGGGGTGCTTCTCCAGTTTTTTGGGTTCATTTCCAGCTCTGGAGTTTGATTTCCTCTTTTTTTGGTGTTGATTTCCAGCTTTTGGGGATTGTTTTCCTCCTTTTTGGGACAGAATTCTCAGGTTTTGGGGTGATTTTCCAGCTTTCGGGGTGCTGGTTAGCTTTTTGAGTCATATTTCCAGCTTTTTGTGGTTGATTCCCACATTTTCAGGGTTGTTTCCAGTATTTTGATGCATTTCTCCAACATTTGGAGTTAATTTCCCTCATTTTGAGATCCATTTCCTGCCTTTTACATTTGATTTCCTTCTTTTTGAGGTTGATTTCATGAACTTTCTGGGGTTGTTTTCCACTTCTTTAGCTTCATTTCCCTTTTTTAGGCTTGCTTTTCATCTTTTAGTGTAAATTCCTCATTTTCAGGATCAATTTCCCCACATTTGGGGTTATTCCCCACCTTTTTGAGGTCCATTTCCTCCTTTTTAGTGCAAATTTCCCTATTTTATTGCCATTTTTCTCTCACCTCTCATTTGACCCCCAGAAGTTTTGCATATCGTGATTTTCCACCTCTCCTCTCACTCCTAACTCTGTTTTTCCCCATTTCTTTCCCCATTTCTTTCCCTGTTTCTTTATTTGTTTCTCCCTCTTTTCCCTCTCCTTTTTTCCTGTTTATTCCCATTCTTTCCCCTTTTTTTTTCTCAGCTTTTTCTTATTATTTCCTATTTTTTCCTGTTTTTTCCCGTTCTTTACCCTTTTCCCTCCCTATTTTTCCCATTCTTTACCCTTTTTTCCTGTTTTTTCCCCTTTTTTCCCCAGTTTTTTCCCCTCCTTTCCCATTTTTTCCTGTTTTTTCCCATTCTTTCTCTTTTTATTCTCATTTTTCTCATTTTTTCCCATTTTCCTCTTTTTTCCAGGCCGTTCCTGCCATGGGCTCCGGCCCCATCGACCCCAAGGAGCTCCTCAAGGGCCTCGATTGTTTCCTGGGCCGGGATGGGGAGGTCAAAACCATGGATGGCATCTCCAAAATATTCAGGTCAGACCCAAAACCCTCCGTTTTCAGAGCTTTGCACCCTTTTTTTGGGATTTGTGACCGCTAATTGTTATTAATTGCTGTCAATTAGCCTCATGAAGGACTCGCAGAAGATGGTGAGTCGCTGCATTTACCTGAACATCCTCCTGCAGACCCGGGCCCAGGACATCCTGGCCAAGTAAGCACCTGAAAAATGGCATTTTTCTGGGGATTTTGGGCAAATTCGGGTGGGTTCGGGTTGGTTCAAGGTTTTCCTGGCCAGATCCTGCCAGAATTCCAACTTTTTTCCCTCAGATTTCTTCCTCAGACCTAGTAAGCACATGGAAAAATGGGATTTTTGAGGGGATTTTGGGTAGATTCCTGGTTTCCCCAGCCAGATCCGGGCAGAATTCCAACTTTTTTCCCTCAGATTTCATCCTCAGACCTAGTAAACACGTGGGAAAATTGGATTTTTGAGGGGATTTTGGGGAAATTTGGGTGGGTTTCAAGGTTTTCCTGGCCAGATCCTTCCAGAATCCTGACTTTTTTCCCTCAGATTTAATCCTCAGACCTACCAAGCACATGATAAAATGGGATTTTTGAGGGGATTTTGGGGAAATTTGGGTAGGTTTGGGTGGATTTTGAGGTCTTCCTGGACAGATCCTTCCAGAATTCCAACTTTTTTCCCTCAGGTTCATCCTACCTTAGAAACCACATAGAAAATTGAATTTTAGGTGGATTTTGACAGGATATTTTTGGATTTTGGGTGGATTTTGACAGAATTAAGGTTTTCTCAGCTGGATCTGGACACAATTCCCGCTTTTTCCCCTCAGGTTCATCCTGCCTTAGTAACCACACGGAAAATTGAATTTCAGGTGGATTTTGACAGGATATTTTTGGATTTAGGCAGAATTCAACAGGGTTTTATTTGGATTTCAGCGAGATTTTGACAGAATTAATGTTTTCCCAGCTGGATCTGGACACAATTCCCACTTTTCCCCTCAGGTTCATCCTGCCTCAGTAACCACACAGAAAATTGAATTTCAGGTGGATTTTTTTGGATTTAGGCAGAATTTGACAGGGTTTTATTTGGATTTCAGCAGGATTTTGGCAGCATTAATGTTTTCCCAGCTGGATCTGTGCACAATTCCCACTTTTCCCCCCAGGTTCATCCGGATCGGGGGCTACAAGCTGCTCAACACGTGGCTGACGGGCTCCAAGGCCAACAACAACGTCCCCTTCCTGCAGCAGCTGCTGCTCACCCTGCAGCACCTCCCGCTCACCGTCGACCACCTCAAGCAGGTCTGGGCACCCTTGGGTGGCACCTGGGGCAGCACAGCTGGCTTTGGGGACAGCACAGCTGGCTTTGGGGACAGCACAGCTGGCTTTCAGGACGCTCGGGTGGCTTTTGGCACTCCCAGAGTGGCTTTTGTCTCATTTAAAGTGACTTTTTTTTCTATTTAAGGCCCTTGTAGTCGCTTTGGGGACACTGGG